TTATGAGTTGACTGATGTGAGAGGAACCGAAGAGCTTTGAGATATTGGTAGGCCAGGCGGGGGGGGGGGGGGGGGAAGTCTGGCCCCAAACCATGATTTGCCGTGACACACATGGAGAAGGGAATGGTGGGGAGCTATAGACCTCCTTTCCCAACCGGTTTTCCCCACCAAAACTCTTTAACGAAAAGAAAACCCACCTCCATGTGTTTTGAAAGAAACTCTGGCCTGGGTCCCTTTCAAGCAGGGGGATCAGTGGTGGGATTCAAAAATTGACCACCGGTTTGGTGGGTTGGGTGGCTTGGTGGGCGCACTTTTACACAGGCACAGAGGCATCCCGACTCGCCTCTCCCGGTCGCTTCGGCAGCTGCCCCGCACGGCACTCTGGCTGTGCCGCGCAAAGCAGCCGCGCTTCAAAAGCAGAGGATAAAGGTGAGTATAGGAGCCCAGGCGGGCAGGTGGGCCCAACAGCAGAGTGCAGAGAGAACCAATTTGGTATCCGCTGCTCATCGCCGCTACCGGCTCGGCCAAACCAGGCCAAACCAGTAGAATACAGACACCGAGTGGGATCCTACCCGTTCCACTACCGGTTTGGTGATCGCGCATGTGTGCACATGCACCTAATGCACGCACACAACTTTCCCCGCACCAGCTGAGGCTTTTGCACCGGGGTTGGTGGGAGGGTCTATAGCCGTGATGGCGAACCTATGGCACGCAAGCCACAGGCGGCACGCAGAGCCATTTGTGCCGGCACGCGAGCTGCAAGCAAACTTACCTCACTGGGCATGTGCGCGCTTCACAGCTGATTTTCGGTGGGTTTGAGGCCTTTTTCGGCCTCCCAAAGGCTTGAGGGAGGCTTCTACAGGCTTTGCAGGCTGAAAACTAGGCCTGTTTCGTCACTTCCTGTTTTTCCGAAAATACCGGAAGTGACGAAACGGGCCTAGTTTTTGGCCTGCAAAGCCTGCAGAAGCCTTCCTCAAGCCTCTGGGAGGCCGAGAAAGGCCTCAAAGCCGCCGAAAATCAGCTGTGAGGCGCAGTGCAGGTAAAGGGGGCGCAGGGAGTGGGTGGGTGGGGATTGTGCATGCATGTGCAGGAGGCACGAGGAGCGCACACACATTGCCTTCTGGGTGCTGGCACGCGAGCATGAGCATGCAAGCGCGCGCGCAAGTTTTGGCACAGGAGCCCAAAAAGTTTAGCCACCCCTGGTCTATAGGCTTTTCCCTCTTCTCTCAGCTGATCGTGGGAGGCTTTTCTTTTGTTTTGTTTTTTTACTACCGGTTCAGGTAAACCAGTCCGAACCAGTAGCCTACCACCACTGGTCCATTTCCTCCCGAATCCCCAGGTTCCCCCATTTACTTGCTGTGCTCCAGGTTGGTCCGTGATGCCGGATGAGGCAGCTTCCCCTTAGCAGCTCCGGTCTCATCTTTGTCGACGCTGATCCATTCTGAAGAGGAGGAGGAGGGAGGGGGTGTACAATTTCAGGGTGGGATGGGTGTGTGTGTGTGAAAGGGTGACAGACACGCCCCCCCCTGCAAGCACCGCTGGCCCAGATGGCACCCTGGGGGCTTCTGTCTTCGCCTCCCAGTCGTGCGAACAAGCAACTGTCTTAGGAACCGACAGGTGGGGTGTATGTGTGTGTGTGTGCTTTGAGAAGCTCTGGATTCAGATCCAATCGACCGACTTAGACAACAAGGAACAACCAAGAAGCCCCTCACCCATATTGGCAGGGCAAGCCACCCATAGATAACTGGAGAGCATCCTATCAGTGCTAGAAGGGAGGGGGCTTGGGCCTCATTTAATACACAAGTGGCTTTCCCTGTCACTCTTGGTGGTTCCTTCCTTAGGCTGGTTTTTTTTTACTGTTGGATTGTTTGTCTCAGTTGGTACTTCCTGGATAGGGGTAGCAATGACAGGGCACGCTATTTCTTTCTAAACACAGAGCAAACCCCGCTCCCTTCTAGCACTGATGATGTTCCCTAGTTGGGTCTTGAAAGGTCTGCAAGAAAACCACCCAGCTCAGACGGCACCAAGGACCCCTCAGATCTAACCGATCCCCCTACCCCAGTTTTGTCTTTCATCTTATCCAAATGTCGGCTATTCAGCCCACCTGCTGCGTAAGCCCACCCGCCCGCCTCTTCTGCCAACTCACCATACAGCCTCTCCCGAGTCCCCATCCGTTCTGCTGGGACCCGAACCCTCATGGACCCCCGAATGTTGCCCGTCTCCTCCCCCCGGTGGGAGAGGTAGGTGAGGAACTGCTGCGCCGTGCTCCCGATCATTGATTTGAGGGCGATGACGCACTCGCCTGGGGAGGGAAGCAACAGAGTTGGTGGGCCAGGAGGCACAAGGAGATAGGATCTTGGGTTGGGTTGGGTTGACTCATGGCTGGCGAGTTGGTCGATGCTCGAAACATGGCTTGACCGAAGGCTCAGGGAATGGATCTGGGAGACTCACCCTCTGCGGGCTCACAATTTCAGAACTGTGGAGAAGCTGAGCCTCTCCATTCAGTTAGGAATCCCCTATTCTGCCACTGATTGAGGGCATCTGTTATGGCCTGTCAGCCACAAGGAGGAGGAGGAGGAGGAGGAGGAGGAGGAGTGGGAGTTGGGGTCAACATCAGGGCAAACTGAGAGCTCTGAGGGGGAAGAGCCTGGGCCTTCCGTCAGCCCTCAGATGGAGAGTCAACAGACCCAGGTCTGGAGGTGGCTGATGCGGAAGAGGAGGAATAGCTGGGTCCAGTGCCTGATGCGCAGAAGGCAGAGGAGAGGAGAGCAGTGGAAATCTATGGGCTGGTCCTCAGTACGGGAGCTCCGAGGGGAAAGAGGGAATGGAGCTGGCAGAGAGAGAGAGAGACAGAGGTGGACCCTGGGCTATCCATCAGCCCTTAGATGGAGAGTCAACAGCCCCCAGGTCTGGAGGTGGCTGATGCGGAAGAGGAGGAACAGCCAGGTCCAGTGCCTGATGCACAGAAGGCAGAGGAGAGGAGAGCAGTGGAAATCTATGGGCCGGTCCTTGGGACAGAAGAGCCACCGCTGCTAGCGAAGCCCCACCCAGGCTCTGGAGATAAAAGGCAGGGAGCCGAAACGAATACATGTGGCAGACAACTATTCATCTCCCGGCTGGACGGACTTGTTAGCCTGCGGCGAGAGAGAAACTTTTTGCCGGGGCTCCTCATAAAGGGAATATTGATTTAAATACAGAGGGTTTGTCGTGTTTGGGAGCCGGGTCAGAAGTAGCTTCTCAGTTGATCCGATGAATGCTGAATCCCACTTTGCTTATCAAGGTGAAGAGGCCAATCAGCCTGCTCATATTTTCCCACCTGTAATTCTGAGACAATCTCCAGCAGGGGTCCCCAAATACTGGGCCGTGGATCAGTACCGGACTGCGGCCTGTTAAGAACCGGGCCACACAACAAGGGGCAAGCAAGCCAAGTTTTAACTGCGTCTGCGCAGGATCTAAGTTGCTCGTGAAACCATCCTCCTCCCGGTCAGTGGAGAAAAATGGCATTTCACGAAAATGGTCCCTGGTGCCAGAAGGGTTCGGAACCCCTGATCCACAGGGAAGACGCGTCTCCATGACCTTGGCGAACTTATGCAGCGATGGCTTCCACAAGGAAAACAGGGTGCAAGATGAGGTTCCCCAACCTTGGCGACGGTTGAGATGGGTGGACCTCAACAATTTGTTCCCTTGAGTTTAGACAACAAGGATAAGGGTCTTAAAAATGGAGCATGAGAATTGAAATGGGAAGATTATTATTAGTTTTCAAAATTATTTGAAGGGATTAAAATGGGGAAAATAAATTTGCTATGTTACTGTTTTTAGCATAAATATAAAACTTAGAATGCGATAGAGAAAAGGGAATGCCATGTGGAATCTGATTTTATTTATTTATGTGTGTGTGTGTGTAAATGACATATAGTAGTTAAGGGATTATTGTTATTAATGCAGAATGTGGTAATTAAAAAATGACTATATTAACATAAATTTTTGATAATGAATTAAAGGGAGTAAAATGGGGAAAATATATAAGGTAAAGGGGTGGCTAGCTTGAATTGACAATGAAAGGGGATAACTTTTGGATAATAAGATTTAAGACGAACTTTAAGGAACAATGAATGGAATAATACTGTAGTATGTGAAAAAAATTACAGGTGTGACGGATATAAGAAAATGCATGTAATGAGTATAGAAATTGAATAAGAATTAAGATAATATTGTGAAATAAGGTAAGAGAATATTTAAAGAAAAACGAAATGAGCTACAATTGTGAAATGAATTTGGATAAAAGGAATGTAATGAATATAATAATTGTAGGAGAATACTTAAAGAAAAGTGGAACAAGTAATAATATGACATGAAACTGAATATGGACATTGAATATGTAATTATGGTCATGTCTGTATTGAAGTGTAAAAACCTGGAACCACGTTGTTCAGCAAGAGATGCTTTTTAAAAGATAACAATTTAAAACAAATATTGCGAAAAATAAAAAAAGGGTTAGGTCTTGGAGACCCACTAGACTAGGAGTCACCAAACTTGGCCACTGTAATACTTGTGGACTTCAAGTCCCAGAATTCTCCAGCCAGCTGGCTGGAGAATTCTGGGAGTTGAAGCCCACAAGCCTTAAAGTGGCCAAGTTTGGAGACCTCTGCACTAGACAGTTTCAGCTCCTCACCGTAGGACTCGTAGCCATCCATGGATTTGACGGTCAACAGGATATGCTGGTCTTGCAAGTATTCGATGTCCGAGAGGATTGGCTTGAGCTGTGGGCAAGAAAAGTCAGAGATGGTGGCTACTTTAGCTAGCATTTCTTCTGATGATCAGCTTTGGAGCATCTCCTAATGCAAGGACGCTCCGATGTGCTTCTCTTCCAGAACGTTCTTCCGTGCCCTCTTCCCATCCTCTGCCACCAGAGACCCTTGCAGCAAAGTTGACCTTCTGGTTGAGGGGAAGGGGGCGCTCACCGTGGGCAGTTGCCTGGAGGACCACTGGACCTTCAAGAAATTGATGTTGTCGCTGCTCTGGGAATCGTTCTCAAAGCTCTTTTTGAATTCTAGGAGGAAAAAGAGACGGGTAAATTGTAAAGGGCCATGGAGAGGACCTTAAAGGAACTAGTGTCAGGATTCCAGCAATCGCCCTCATTCAAGCATGATTCTCGAGCCAAACTTCAAAAAACTTCCAAGGATTCATTAGAGGCGACATCCTGGCACTGCCCTGTATGTGTTGTGGTTCACTGGTAGCAGGTGCGGATGGCTGAAGTCTCGGAGAGCGAGGACTCGGATGAGGGGCCTCCGTGGGGATGCAGGGATGGGGCCAGGACCATCAGGGGGTGGAGTGCTGCCTTCGGAGATTATGGAGGCTGGCAGCAGTGAGGAAGAGGCCCCCGAGGAGCCTGTGCCCAGGGCACGCAGGGCTGCTCGAAGGAAAGAGCAGCTACAGCAGCACAGCGACTCAGGAGTAAGGCTGCAAGGTGATGGCCCCTCCCTTAAGCGATAAAAGCCAGCTGAGAACCCGGAGTTCTTTGCAGGAAGCAAAGAAGTTTTTGCACTCAAGCCTTGTGGACATTTGAACTCTCTTAGTTTGTGTTTGGAGACTCTTTGTGTTTGAACTATTTCTTGGCAACTTTATCCGGTGTTCTTGACAGCCTTGCACCACCTTGGCCAGGCTCCTTCTTATCAGAGACAATTAGCTGAAACAGCCTTTGAACCGGGAAGGAACGGAATTCCTAAAGAATCATTAAGAGGTTTTGCTGTTACCTCCGTTTGGTGTTGCTCTCCTTGGGACCAGGTTTGGGTCAGAACAGTATGAAGCCAACTGTGGCGTCCATAATTCACAGTCCCCTGGGACCTTGTTTACCCCCCTTCCCCCTGGGTGTGTCTTAAACCAGATTCTCCAGTTGAGCACCTTCACGGGCTGGGTGTCATCAATCACCTTCTCCAATTGGATATATTTGTGGGCAAAAGCGCTGGTATTTTAGTTACAATCTTTTAAAGCTAAGAGTTGGAATGTACTTTTGCTTTGCTGCATTGCTCTTCCAGATTTCCTTCCCCCCCCCCCCTTTTTTTAATGGCCACGCCTAAAACAGGCATAGGGATGTTTTATGAGTTGACAACTAGGCTGAGATGCTTTCAAACCCAATAACATGTTTTAAGGCTGGGAAACAGAGGCAACATTAGGAAGAAACCCACGCTTGACTTCTTCCTAGTTTACTGAGGAGGGCAAACACACGTGTTGTGGATTCTGCTTATCTCAATAAAGGACAGCTCCACTCCATGTCTGGAGTCTCTGTCCAGATTTGGACCACTTTGAAGACAGTAAGTAAAGGTGTGGCCAAGCAAAGATGTCATAATTCCCACTCTGCAAAGAAATGTCTGATGCTTGGGAGAAATTTGGAGAGTTTTCTGAGAAACCACGGGGACCCATCTGACATGTGTTAAAAAGTTCAGATGACCACCAATCAGTGGAAGAGCATGAAGAGGTTCATTTGATGTCTCATAATGGTCATGTCAGCTAAAAAAAACAACACTCCTTTGGTCTTTCTGCCAGCAGAAAGGAAGTGGGGGAAAACAGTGCATTCCTCAGATGCCTTAGATAATCACCTTGGCAGCCCAAAGTTGTTGGAGCTCAAGAGTATTACTGGAGGACATGATGGATGACTCTTGGCTATGGATGTGTCCCATTGGAGAATATACATCCAGGGGGTGGAGGGAAGACCAGAGGGTCAAGGGGGAAATGAATGATGTATTTTAGTGTTGGCTGCACCCAGTTAACTCCAACATGGTCACTCCTAATAAATCCATTTTTTTTACTGCGGCTACAAACTTAGGATTTGAAGGGGGGGATTTGTTAGAGCCCTGACAGGTAACTCTCCAAAGAGTGACCATTATGAGACATCAAACGTGGTTTCTCAACTCGAGGAACTTTTAAGATGTGCGGACTTCATCTCTACAACTTCAACAGTTCTGGTTTCAGTTGAATGACGGTTTCTACGAGTCCTTGTATTACTGTGATGTATTTGAACCCAATGTTTTCCAACATTTTTGCAAGTCCACAAAACATGATAACATGAGTTCCTTCAGGTTTTCCATACTTCTACACCATATCCTGAAGTACGTGGTCCTTGGTGCTCGGTGGCTTATCAAAAGTTGTTCTGACCTCTACAGTTGACCAGAGCAGACTCTCCTTGGGCATTCATACACACTACAGGCACCCTCACCTTCCAAACAGGTGGAGTAGAATTCAATGAAGAATTTTGTCCGGCTGGCTGTCTTCACAATGGCTTCGATGCTCTCAAACTCTATGTAGGCCTGGTCTGAGGATTTGGAGAGCCCTGGAGATGGAGAAAAAGGAATGACTTGACTTTCCCCGAATTTGTTTTAATAAAAATGTAAGGCGGCCCTGTCGAACCAGGCCAAAGTCCACCTTAATTCCAGGTTTGCTTCACTCAATGTCCTAGTCTTCCAGTCAGAAGGAGGGATCAAAGAAGGGATTAGCATGGACTCGTTAGTTCAGGACTGGGTGAACTCTGGCCCCTTTATGACTGGTGGACTACAACTCCCAGAATTCCTTTTTTTCCCCCCCAAAAAAGATTTTTTTTTAATCTTTTACATCTCTTTTAGTGAACAGTGTGATTCTAGGTTTTTACACTTCCATACAAACATGACCATAATTACATATATATCTCATGTATTCAGTTTCTTATCATATCATTGCATTTTCCATTTTCTATAAATTTTCAAAAATATTCTTATATTTTTTGCTTTTATTTTATCCCATTTTAATTCATATACTTGTTCTATTCTTCTCTTAATTATACTCTTATCTTCTTTATATAATATCTTAAAATTATTTATTTCTTATTCTAGGTTCATTACATTCTTATACTTTTATCTGTCATATTTGCCATCTCATCACATATTCTTATTTCATTATTCAGTCAATCCCGTCTTAATATTAATAATTCCAAAGATTCCCCCCTTAATTATCCATTTGAATGCACCACCAGCTGGCTCGGGAATTCTGGGACTTGAAGTCCACCGGTCGTAAAGGGTTTAGTTCCCAACCCCTGCACACAAGAAGGCGAGGTCTGAGTCACCCATGCCTTTGTGCCTTAACTAGTCTTCCCCTGGACCAACCTGCCAATCTGGGAAGATTCCTGTAAAATAGGCAGAGAGCAATAAAGTAGCTAGTCTGAACTCTGCCCACGTGGGCCTGGTTGTTTGGGCTTGATACCCAGAGGCCAAAGAGATGTTCTGACATGTTCACATCATTACAGATGTGGGGTCCTTCGTGCTCTCTGAGCTTGTCTTCTTGCAGACATTTCATTGCCAAATCCTGCTCCTCCTCCATCGTTGCTAGTCAAGGAGTAGGGTTTGCTAGCACTAGCACTGATGACGTTAGCTGGTTTGGCGATGAAACATTTTCAAGGAAACAATCAAGTTGGAACAACTTGCCTCAAGCAGTTGTAAATGCTCCAACACTGGAAGTTTTTTTAAAAAGATGTTGGATAACCGTTTGTCTGAAGTGGTGTAGGGTTTCCTGCCTAGGCAGGGGGTTGGACTAGAAGACCTCTAGGGTCCCTTCCAACTCTGTTATTCTATTCTAAAAAGTTCAGAGGGCATCAAGGACCCCACAATTGAACCCTGAGCTACAAATATTCTGTTTTATAACAATAATTGTTATGTTGCTCCCTGTAATTGGTATTCTGGAGGCGACGTGTTTTTAAGACTGATAGCCCTCATGGATTCATACAATCCCCTCTGAAAGCAAATCCAGGTTAATGGATGTAACCACACTTTGAAGAAGCAACTCGCCCAGGTCAACGTTATACTTGTGAAAAAGTGCCCACTATTGTCTATTTTAGTCTTCCTTTCCGTCAGGTTTCTTAGATGGCCCCGGATACTACTGTTGGGAAGTGAAACGCTTTTTCCCTGGATAAACTCCTTATCAGATCGTTTATTCACACACAAACACACAAACACACACCACCCAACCCTCTTCCCTGGAAATACCTTTTTTGGAAACGAACTGAGACGTGACTCCAACTTCAAAGGCTGCGAAGACCGGAGAATGGTCGCTGCTCATGATATCATCTGTACAGCCTGACCAAGAAAACAAGAGATGCCTTCAACCACGGTGACATCTACCCTTCGAGGAGGAGGAGGAGGAGGCTGAAGATGGACCAAGGAGCCCCCATGGAACCGGGATGGACAGGCGGTTGGCCAAGAGACTGTCATCCACCACACAACGCCTGAAGTAACTCATAGTTGTATGGCAGAGAAGATGGGGAGATGCTAGCAGATGAAGGTGTCTACAGTCCAGCTATGACCACCTCCAGGGAAGCCCAAAGTGCCACGTCCGCATGGAACTCACCATAGGAGGTGCTGTTGATGTGTGTCTCTGGGTAGGATTTCCAGAGGATGCGGTCACACCAAGAAGGGACATTGGTCCTGACCTGGGACAGGGAAAACGAGAGACTTTTTGGATCTTGGATCAAGGACACACAACCATGTTGGCCAGATACTTTTTAAAAAAAATAATCCAGGCTCTGAACATGGAGGTAACAGACAAGCAAACCTCGTTGAGGTTGTTGTGTGAGATTGGATTCAGGCAGAGATGTTGGGAGTCCATTGGTGATACCCAACCCCAGGTAGATGGATGTGCTGCTTTTGGCCAAGAGAAGACCTCAGGTGAGCAAACCAGGAGATGGAGGCTTCTGCGTTGGTTCCTGGGCCACACGGACGGGTTAGAGCAGCGTTTCTCAAGCATGGCCACTTTAAGACACGTGGACTTCAACTCCCGGCATTCCACTTTAAAATGCGTGGATTTCAATTCTGAGGGTTCAACTTTAAGATGCACGGACTTCAAATTCCACAATTCATTTTTAAGATGTGTGGATTTCAATTCCCAGAATTCATATTTAATATGGGTGACTTCAAATTCCACAATTCATTTTTAAGATGCACAGATTTCAGTTCCCAGAATTCATCTTTAAGATGTGTGAATTTCAATTCTGAGGATTCAACTTTAAAACGTGTGGACTTCAACTCCCAGAATTCTTGGAGTCCGCGCCTCTTAAAGCTGCAAAGACTGAGAAAGGCTGGGCTGAAGGCTCAGGACCCCCACGCCACTTGAAGTGGTCGAAGGAACACTCAGACCCCAGAAAACGCCCATGGCGTGTCTGGATGCGGCAACCCTGCTGGACTCTTGGATCGCCAGTCCAGCTGGGCAACCTGCAAGCAGAGCGTAACCCCCGCAGCTCCTCCCCCTCCTGAGCCCCCCCCACACCCACCCCCCCGTGACCCCCCCCAGGCACTTACCCCTGTGGGCTTCTGTTTATGCCACACGTAGGTGTCGCGGGAGCCCCTCTCGTAGCGGTAGGTAGGAGGGAAGGTGACTTCCTCTTCACCTGGAAGGGGAAGAACAGGCAATCCAGAGATCAAAGGTTATGCCCCCCCCCCCACAAAGCCCACCTGGTTTTATTAGGAAGGGGCTTCGAGCAAGGGGAGCTGTCTCTTGTTGGAAGGCTAAAGGGGTGGAGGCAGGGGTGGGTTCAATTTTTTAACAACCGGTTCTGTGGGCGTGGCTTAGGTGGTGGGAGAGGCAGTTTCTGTAAGCAACACCAGAATGTTTCCTTCCTGCCTTCCTTACAGGATTAGCCCTGTAGTTTCTTCTAACAACCGGTTCTCCGAACTGCTTAGAAGGTTAACAACCGGTTCTAGCGAATAGGTGCGAACTGGTAGAATCCCATCCCTGGGTGGAGGAGCAGGACTTTGCTAGAAAGACCCTCGTGTTCCTCTTCAGGGGAGGGGATCACTTCGGTTTCACACCTGGGTGCAAGAAGAGCTGCTGTTTGCAGCCATTTTGACACCCAAACATGGACCTTCCCCCCAAAATTGGAGCTCCTAGGATCCCCCATAGCAGGACTGAGGAAATCCCACTCCCTTCTTCCACTGATGATGTTCCCTAGTTGGGTTATGAAACGTCCGCAAGAAAACAGCCAAGCTCAGAGAGCACCAAGGACCCCACAGCTTTCCTCCTCCTCCTCCTCCTCCTCCCTGCAAACTTCCCTCCCTTCTAGCTGATGATGTTCCCTACTTGGGTCATGAAACGTCTGCAGGAAGATCACCCAGCTCTGAGACCCCCAAAGGACCCCCCATAGTTCAACCCTGAGCTGCAAAGGTTCTCCTCTATGGAGAGCAAGGAGGGACCCCTGAGGTGGGACTGGCGGCTCACTGAATCGGAGGAAGATCTTGTGTTTCTCCTTCTCCAGGTTGAGCTGGTCCACTTTGAGGAGAGGCTCAAACTCCTTGCGGTTGATGTAGTTGAGGATTTCCTAGAGGGGAGAAAAAAAGGGAAAGGGGTCCTTTTCCATCCATGTCTCGGGGCTCCAACAAATCCACCCCCATTCAAATCCTAAGTCTCTAGCCGCATCGCTCGGAGTAAAAAAACTGATTTATTAGGAGTTGGCAAGTCGGCGTTTCTGGATTGCAGCTGACTCTGACACATCATTCATTTCCTCCTTGACCCTGGTCTTCCCCCCAACCCCAGGATGTATATTCTCCAATGGGACACATCCATAGCCAAGAGTCATCCATCATGCCCTCCAGTAATAATCTTGCGGGCCAGAAGCTTTGGCTGCCAACGCGATTATCTGAGGCATTTAAGGAATGCACTGCTTCCCCCCCACCCACCTTCCTTTGTGCTGGCAACTAAAAAGACCAAAGGACCATATATGTGTGTGTGTGTGTGTGTGTGTGTGTGTGTGTGTGTGTGTATGTAGGTCTAGGTGTGTTCGGGTCTTTTCCCGTGTAAGATTATCTTGGCGACATTTCGGCGAGGTCCCACTCGCCATCCTCAGGCTGGTGCTTTCGGCTTCGTGCCAGTGCAAGCAGTGTGTGATCGGAGCTGCCTCCTCTCTATAAATACTGGTGGTGGGGGCTGGTGTGCTGGGCTGGTTGGCTGCGCTGCTCCCTCTTGATTGGTTGATGGAGTTGATGTTGGTATAATGGGCTGTGTGATGGCCTTGTGAGTTTTGTTGTGGAGATATCCTGGATCTTGTGCTGTCATCTCCTGGCTCGTTTGTTTTGTAGTGATCTTTTTTCCATTAGCCTCTGGTGTTTTAACAGCTTGGGTAATGGGTTGTGTGATGGGCTTGCGAGTTCTTTTGTTGTGGTATCCTGGGTCCTGCATTGTAATCTCCTGGGTCGTTTGTGTTTTGATCTCTTTTCCATGAGCCTCCTGTGTAGTAACGGCTTGGGTAATGGGTTGTGTGATGACCTTGTGAGACTTATTGCTGTGGTATCCTTGGTCTTGTGCTGTGATATCCTGGGTCATTTGCTGTGTTGCAACTTCTTGAGTTCTTGTGGTGTAATTTCCTGAGTTTTCTGGTGTGATCTCCTGAGCGGGTGGCCGTGATGTAGCATTCTGGGTTTTAGTCTGGCTTCGAGTTTGGGGTCTGGGTCTGTGTTCTTGGCGTGTATCAGCTTGTTTGGTTTTGGGGTCAGGGTGTGTGACAGCTGGCGAATATATATATTTGACACTGTGGGTCAAAAGTTCTCCTTGTCAGCCAAACTCTCCCAATTTATGGGATACCCAGCCTGGATTCCCACTGCCTCTGTGACAAGGGAGCGGTGGTCCTCTGCCCATGCTCAGGGGCAGCATCACCTCCTCAACACAGCCCACCACCCACTGTGGTCCTCACCTGGATGTCCATGTCCAGACGGTAGTTGAGGTCCCCAAACCAGAAGAGGTGGGTGAAGCGGAGGGAGATGTCGAAGGAGCTCAGCTGCTTGTCACCCAGGGCCAAAAGGCGCAGGATGTCCAGGTAATTCTGGTTCCTCCTGGAAGGCAAAAGGGGAGGCTGGAGGCTGGGCTGCACAGGCTCTAGCGGGGGGTTGGACTAGATGACCTACAAGGTCCCTTCCAACTCTGATTATCTGTTATCTGTCCTCGACTTACGACCGGGAGGGAGTCCAAAATTTCCATGACTAAGCGAAACGCCTGTCAGGCGAATTTCACCCCGTTCTACGACCTTTCTTGCCACCGTTGCTAAGTGAATCACTGTAGGGCGTTTAGTCAGCAACTTGTTATTTAAGTAGATCTGGTTTTCCCACTGCTTGTCAGAAGGACGCAAACATCCATCACGTGGCCCTGCAAGGTCACTTCAACCGTCATAACTATGAGTCGGTGGCCAAGCATCCAGATTTTATTCAGATAACAGATAATCAGAGTTGGAAGGGACCTTGTAGGTCATCTAGTCCAACCCCCTGTCCAAGCGGGAGACCCTACACCATTTCTGACAGATGGGAGTCCAGTCTCTTCTTGAAAGTCTCAAGTGATGGTGCTCCCACAACTTCCGAGGGCAACTTCTGTTCTGTTCTCCCTGTCAGAAAGTTTCTCCTTATTTCCAGGTTGAATCTCTCCTTGGTCAGGTTCCATCCATTGTTCCTTGTCTGGCCTTTGGGTGCCTTGGAGAATAGCTTGACCCACCCCTCCTCCTCTCTGGGGCAGCCCCTCCAATATTGGAACACTTGCTATCCTGTCTCCCCTGGTCCTTCTCTTCCCTAGACCAGCCAGGCCCAGTTCCTGCAACCGTTCGTTGTATGTTTTAGTCTCCAGTCCCCTCATCATCCTGGTTGTTCTTCTCTGCACTTTTTCTAGAGTCTCAACATCTTTTTTATAATGTGGTGAGCAAAACTGGATGCAGTACTCCAGGTGTGGCCTTGCTAAGGCTTTATAGAGTGGTATTAGTACCTCCCTTGATCTGGATTGTATCCCTCTGTTAATACAATTTAGGATTGCATTGGCTTTTTTGGCGGCTGCTGCACACGGCTGGCTCCTATTTAGCTGGTTGTCCACCAAGACTCCAAGATCCCTCTCACAGTTCCTGCTAGTGAGCCTGGTTTCACCCAGTCTATATGTGTCCTTTGGGTTTCAGGTGGCATGGGGATGCTGCAATGGCCATAAATGTGAAAAATGGTCATAAGTTCGTTTAGCGATCATGCAAAGTTACAAAAGAGTGACTTATGGCCGTTTTTCACACTTACGACCATTGCAGCATCCCCGAGATCGTGTCACATAAATTCAGGCACTTGGCAGCTGGTTCATACCTACGACGGTCACAGTGTCTTCCGGTGGGGGGGTGTCACATGATCTCCTTTTGTGACCTTCTGACAAGCAAAGTCAAACTCACTTAACGACGGGGTTGCTAACATAACAACCACAGTGATTCAGTTAATGACTGTGGCGAGAAAGGTTGTGAAATGGGGCAAAACTCACTTAACGACTGCCTCACTTAGCAACAGATATTTGGGGTTCAGTTGTGGTCCTAAGTCAAGGATTACCTGTCCTCCTGCTAACTGTGTCGTGTGAATCTACACCTTTGTGGTTTGGTGCAAGGGCCTGCTCAGCGCAGGGAGGCTTCCGCCTGTCGTGGGAATTGGAAGCAGCTTTGACTCCCCCTCGGGGAGACCCCCCCCCAGGCTCAGCCCCCTCGCACTGCGATGGGGGGGGGAGGGGGCTCACCTGGCCGTCTTCTCGTTACCGGAGGTGAGGTGGCAATTGACGAAGCCGAAGGAGGTGCCGTTGAACATGAAGGAGACCCCCACGGCCCCTTTGTTGCCTGCGGAGCAAAAGGGAGAGGAGGCCTGTGGCTTCGTGGCAAGAAACAGCCGAGCTGCCCCAGGCCACGGATTTCGTGCCTTCATTTACCTTCATTGGCCTGGCATGAAGGTGGCCTGGAAAAGGCTTCGGCTCCCAGGAGATA